GTTTTTGGTTGTAAAAGCAGATTTTTTCCCCGCTGAACGAAGGGCATGTGCTATAGTGTAAGCCTTCCAAAAGTAGAGGAATCTGATCTGTATGTAACTGTTAAATAACAACGTAGGTCCAAAACACACTGCAGTTTGAGATCACTTTAACTGCCCTGGCTCATTGCTAGGGAGTTCTGGGAACTGTAGTTTTGTGGGACATTTAGCCGCATGTGTCAGAGAGCTCTGGTGCCACAATAAACTACAATTCCCAGGATTCCCTAGCAATGAGCCAGCACTGGTAAAGTGGTCTCAAACTAGATTATTTCTGCAGTGTGTTTTGGATCTTGTTATCATAAAATGAGCATACAGAAAATCAATGTTAAATTGAAAAAATGCTTGTTTATAAAATTCTTCAAAATGAAGATGTGGGAAGAGAGTATTTGCTCTTGCACATGCATTCTGTACAGTTGCAATCCCCTTTGTTTCTGTCTTGTGTTGTGGTTTGTATTGCTTAGGAGTCATTTGGCCATTTTTCTACCCAGTGAATCTGCAATAGAAATCCCCTCCTGGCTATCTGCAAATGTTTTGTTACTCTGGGAGAATTGACTTTTTAGCTGAAAAGATGTGTTACAGTTTTAGATCTACCCCTAGGTTCTTTTCTCATGTTTAGACTTGGGTCCCATTTAACAAATCATGAGAATTGTGTATTTTTTAGTTACACTTCCTTTGGGATACATATTCTTACATTGTCTCCCCCATTTATCTTGAGAATTTGCAACATATGAAGGATCCCCTGCACTTTGCCCTTGCTAGCTCAGATGATATTAACAGCTATGGAGAGACCAGGTAATGGGAAACAGATTTGTAAGAACTTGGGGAAGTAATGACAGTAACAATGTATGTGTATTTTTCAACATACATGCCTGAGTTATTAGTACTCCCAAACCAGAAAATTTGCTCAAATGAGCAGAACATTTGTTCAAATGAGTTCAGCATTCAGCCATCATATTATTTTTTGATAGTCATGCTATGAGCACTTCAAAATGACATGAACTTGCACTGGACAACTATGGAAAGCAAACTTTAGTTGTGGTTTCTTGGCAAGTACCTACGTCTCTGCTGTTGCAAACAGTCAGCTGCTAGTGTAATTTTCTTTTGGCTCTGTTAGTTGTTTCAGTACTTATGATAGGATATACTTTATAAGGGTTTATACACCAGCAAAGAGGGCATATGATTTTTTGTGCCTTGGGTGTTATTGGCTTGTGTCTTTGGAAAAAAAACTTTTTTACAAGCTTGCTTTTTTATAGAAAGGAATGAGAGGGATAGTTACCAGCTTGACAATAAATGCATTTATATTAATAGAAATAGCAATTGAGGGAGGAGGCGCAAAGCTAATCTACTCTGGTTTAAAGGTTAGGGAAGGGTTTTTTAGTTGAGAATTGCTCTGCAGTAAGTAAAATGAGATTATTTTAGGAAAGGAAGTGTGTTCAGGATGATGTCTTTCTTTATTACTGATATACAAAGATTTGAAATAGAGATGTTTTACATTATAAGGGTAGAATGTTTACATTATAAAATATGTCACCCAACAGGAGTGCAAGTTAGTAGACAGATGACAGAAATAGGTTATGGATCTAGCTTTTGTGAAGGCAGTAATAGAAAACTCAAATTAGCCAGATTGCTGTGTTGATGGCTTTAAAAGATTGTGTAGACCTGTGGTGATCAAAGGTACCACAGTTACAAAGTCTTGTGTATTTTGTTTATTCTGTATAGTTCAGGACTGAGACTGCAGCAAGTGGTCCTTTTTCTTGTACAGTACAGCGCACCCCTCAACTGTGGACTTGCCATCCACGGATTCGAGTATCCATGGATGGCAAGCCCCATTGACTTCAGTGGCCGCATGTGCATGTGGTTCCAACAGAGTGGCCGCACATGCCACCGTTGAATGTCGTAGGACTTGAAGTCATTCAGTTTCTGCCATCTGGGGTGGTGAGGTTGGAATGGAACCCCTGTGGATAAGAAGAGCCCACTGTACTGTGCTTGTGGCATATCTGCTTTTCCAAAACTTGTTTAGTGCAGAAGGGAAGCTCCTTGTACCTTCAGACTGTGGATCTTCTAATCAAATTCTAGAACCAGCAACATTGTGGTTTGATGTCTCCAGGCACGACTGTTTTATGCTGCTGGGTTTTCAGTGGATTGGGTACAGAATGTGAACTGAATTTAGTTCCCACTGAAATCTGTGGAACTAGTCGATCATGACTGTAATCAGTGGAATATCAGTTCAATTAACTTGGGACCTTTACAGACTGCCAGAAATAATGCAGATTCAGTGCTAAGGAATCATGGGAACTGTAGTTTATTGTGGCACCAGAGCTCTCTGACAGAGAAGACTCAGTGTCCCAGAAAAAAATACAATTCCCATGATACAAGTCCCTAGCACTGAGCTAGGACAGTTAAAGTGGCCTCAAGCTGTATTATTTCTGGCAGTCTGTAAAGGCCCTTAGTCAGGAATTTAAGTTCATGTAACTTAGTGTGATCCTTGGCCATGTTGGCTGGGGAATTCTTGGAGCTGTAGTCCCAAACAGTAATTTTTCCAGCCTTTGGTCTATACCTCAATGTAATCCCCATTTACAGCATTGGCAAAGATATTTTAGGCATTTTTCCTTGGAAGTATACCCCTGTGAGTTAAATGAAGCTTACTGCCAGCAGCAGGCCTCAGGTTACCATTTTGCTTCAACTTTTATCTTTTGTAGTACTGCTTAACTGTAATCTAAGGTTACCAGTGTGGCATAAATTCATGTAAGTATTTGCACTAGTAACTCCAAAGTACTACATTAAGCATGAAAGGAAAGAGAGTGAAAATTTTGTTGAGTAGACTAATTGTGGATGAAAAGAATAAATACAGTTGGCCCTTTGTATCTGTGGGGTTTCCATCCCCCCCCTGCGCAGATGCCAAAAACTGTGGGACATCAAGTCCTGTTGGTTTTAATGGTGGCATGGCCACATGCATGTGCTGCCAATGGGGTGAATGGACCAGATGCTTAATTCAGTGGAGGGCAAGCCCGCTGTTGGGGTGGGCAGACTGTACTTCCATAGTTGTACTAAAGTCGTCTTTGTTTGGTCTGCAAGCAGCACCTTGTAATTTAAATGCATGAATTCTTCAGCCACTATTCTGATCAGGGCCATCTGCGCAGGATACGGCTCAAACCAGTGATAACTTCTGAAAATGATTTTAGTGACTGTATAAGTATGCATGTTGATGACAGGGTGAGATTTCTTATTGATAGGATCATCATCAGTTGAAGTTGATTTGATGTCACTTAACAACTACTACAAAAATATCGTTGTAACTATGTTGTGTTGGCGGATCATATGATTTCCAGTGACCTCCCCACTTGAACCACATCTTATTCCATTCAGCAGTGTCCCCTGACCTTCTGTGTTTGCCATTGGGGGAATGAAGAGCTATTGTGAGGAGCAGAGATGTCTTTTTCTGCCAGTCCCTTTGCACACACCTATGCCTGAATCCAGGCTCCTGTCTTTTGGGAATGAAGCAGACAGGGCAAAAGGAGTGGCCAAAGGCTGCTTTGACCCCATCGCTCTGGAACTGTGATAACTGGAAGTCATGGTCCTGCAGCCGACAGCTGCTGCAATCCTGAATGGGCTGCCTGCAGAAGTGCATTTTTGCCAGTCCTTTTTAGGCTGGCTTCGGGCTGCCTTAGGTGGCCTCAGAGTGACTTCCTCACATTTTGGAGGGTGTACGTCGTTTGAATGCTTGGTAGGTGCTTTATTTGGCTCTTGTGTTTCGGGACTTTGTCTTAATGGCTGAGGTTAGAACCATGATATTAAACATAGAACAGTCCCTTTAAAAGTTCATGGGATAATAATAGAGTTCACAGCAGCTTACACCATGTGACCTTACCTTGTGTTTACCCATGGAAATCACAGTAAGCACTATTGCTCCAAAACATAGGAGATGGACAGAAATAATGTAATATGTCTTCTCCTTGTGCTAACTCATTTTAGAAAAGGTTCTGATTTAGTCCGGTATACTTTATTACGGAAGTGTTTATACTTAAATGTGCCTATGAACCTGTTTTCCTTTTTTTACTCTGTAGAAATTTATTGAATTTGAAGATTCTCAAGAACAAGAAAAAAAAGAATTGCAAATAAGAGTGGAAGCTTTGGAGTCACAAACTCGGCAGCTTGAACTGAAAGCAAAAAACTACGCTGATCAAAGTAAGTAGCAATAGGTCTATATATTCTAATTGAACCGTCACAACATAGCCTATACAATTCTTTCCCCATTTCTGTTTTAGTATTAAAAAGCTCCTAATAACTTTGGACCGCGACAGTTTGCTCGTTCATATGAATTATTTTATTCACATAGGAATATTAATTCTTTTACATTAACTGCTTCCCACATTCACTGAACTGTTAAAATTGTTAAGAATTTTCTGATAGTCATATTTTGAGGGGGTTTTGTTTTGTAAAATAACATTGGGTGCATCTTACAGAGAACTTACAGATTTCCCACAAATTTATCTCATCACCAGTGCCCTGTGTCACCCATTAACTGGATTCTGATTTGGTTGATCTGCCCTTCTGGAGGAATCGTGTGGCACAGTCCTCCTGGGACTGTGGCATCCTGAAATGCAAGTAGAGATTTTCAGGTTTAAAACTACAGTTTTATGCATATTTTCCAGGGAATAGGTTCAGTGGAACTCAGTAGGGATGGAAGGCCTTTTAGTTTGGGCACTCGTCCCCTAAAAGGTTCACCATCACTGCAGTAAGGTTTACCTGTGGGTAAGGCTTAGTGGTTTGAATATCAGACTAGGACTCTGGAGACCAGGGTTCAATTTCCAGCTTGGCCATGAAACCAGTAGGTGATCTTGGGCAAGTCACATGCTCTCAGCCTCAGGGGAAGGCAATTGCAATCCTTTTGTGAATGAATCTTGCTAAGAAAACACCATGATAGGTTTGCCTTGAGGCCTCCATTAGTTGGAAACAACTCGAAGGCAAACAAAACACACACACACACACACACACACACACACACACTTAGGAGAGTCTTTTGAAGTTTATTTCTTATGAGAGGGGTGTTTTCACACAAAATACCTGGAGATTGTTAGTCTAGAAGAGGCGAAGAGAGAGAGCTAAAGACTAAGGAGTCCCTTCTCCCCCCCAACTTTCACTTCTACCATGAACTCATTTGTGCAATTTCTCACACAATTCTCCCTAGTTTCAGTACAGGAATACCACTGCTGAGAGAGGTGATCTGGAGTTTTGGAGTGAGGTGTTGCAAGTATGCTGGTGATACCCAGCTCTACAACTCCTTTCCACCTAATTCCAAGGAAGCTGTTCCTGTGCTAAACTGGTACCTGGTAGATGTAATGGACTGCGTGAGGGCAAACAAATTGAAGCTTAATCCAGACAAGACAAATATGCTCCTGGTTGTGCTCCAGTTGAGATAGATCAAGGAATAGGGATTCAGCCTGTGTTGGATGGAGTTACACTTCCCCTGAAAACTCAGGTTTGCAGTTTGGGGGTGCTCCTGGATTCAGTGCCGAGCCTGAAGTGCCGAGCCAGATTTTGGCAGTGACCAGGAGTGCTTTTTCACAGTTAAAACTAGTGCGCTAACTGCAGCCATTCCTGGAGAAGTCAGATCTGGCCACAGTGGTACATGCCTTGGTTACATCCTGTTTGGACTACTGCAGTGCACTCTACATGGGGCTGCCTTTGAAAAGTGCTCAGAAACCACAGTTGGAACAAAGAGCTGCAGCCAGGTTGTTAACTGGAGCTACCTACAGGGAGCACACAATTCCCTTGTTGCAACAGCTCCATTGGGAGCAAGAATCCTTCTGAAGCTGGATGTGAAACAGAATCAGAGAACAATAAGAGTTGTCTACTCCAGCCCCCTTCTGCCCTGCAGGAATACACAATTGCAGGACTCTTGAAATACAGCCATCCAACCTGTTAAAGACCTCCAAAGATAGAGTTCACCAGTCTCCAAGGCAGTGTATCCCACTGTTGAACAACTCTTACCGTCAGGAAATTCTTCCTAATGTTTACATGGAATCTACTACTTTTAAATAAATCAGCATATTTGACAGTGGGATTTTCTGGTTGCAATAGTAATAATAAT